CCCCAAAACCCCAAAACCCCAAAACCCCAAAACCCCATGATTTTAATTATAAATTGAAATAATGATGCTAGAACAAATATTTCTTAATGTAAATGGGAGACGAATCAGCCTCCAAAATGAATCCCTCAAAGTCTTCGACAATGCAAAGATTCCCAATTTTGATATTATGGGACTGGGTTCCACCAGTTCAATCGAAGGTAATGCCAACTTGAGTATCAATATCTCAGGTGATTTTCATTATTGGCCAATAAGTTTCATAACTACACACAAATATAGAGTTTGGAGGTATTCCAGACTACCAGCCCAGCCACCCTTGTAAGCATCCAGAGTTTGTGATATGTCTGACTTGTGAGTGTAGCCATATTCAGCAATGACTACAACACAATTTACAAGCACCAAGATCACAATATAGTAGGTTTACTAGTACCCATAACCATTGTGTAGTCATGTCAAGGCCTCCAGTCTAACCTAAAACAACAATTGTACACAAGGTCAGGCCACGTTGGAGCAGAACATAATAAGTCCGTGCTAAACGACCCTGGCTATTCACGACTGTAATATTGATGCTGAACAGTTTAGGGTACGCAAAAATCAGAACCACTTTTCAAAGTGGAGACACTCCAGCAATGTGAGTCTGAGTTTTATCGATAGGCCAGAAATAGAAGCTTCGAAAATGGCTCTAGAAACTCAAAGAACTCAGTATTCCCACTCAACAATACCAAAAAGTATACAGAGTTGTCATGAGTAATCATTTAGAGCCACAAACCAGCTGCTGAATTGCTTGTTTCAGACATCAGACAACAAAAACCAGCCAGCAGCAGACACTTTCAGTGACCTTGACAGTGTGTTTCCAATGAAAATGCGTAGCTTCAGTAAAGAGCAAGGTAAGAGCAACAATACCAAGTTCATTATATTCATTCATCGATGTAGTTGTGTTACCTCGCAATGAGAAAATGAGACACTGCACTCCGAAGAAATCCAAAGACATCAAGATTTTTAGAAAAGCCCATTTCATCAAGCGTCAAAAAGCAGCACTCAACAAACTCAAACCCAAACGAGTAAAGCCGAAGCAAGCTGATTTGCCTGCAGTCAATGTCAAACAGATTACATTTCACAGGTATTGATTGTTCTTACAATAGTGGAAACAACTGAAACAACTATGGTGACAATTCTCAAAGTAGCGATAAAGACCGTGACATCAAAGTTAAAGGTCTTGACTCTAATCCTTATGATTCGAAGCAGAAGCCTTATAAGCGAGTGCTTAATAAGAGTTATTCCAATAATTGTATTTCTAGGCGCACACGGCTCACCAAGAACTTGGAGCTGAGTCAAAGCCAAGCCAAACACAATTACATTGTTACAGGGGACTCGAAACGCAAGATTTCAGCATCTCCATATTCCAACTTCTTTAAAATCAACAGTTTAAATTATGCAACGCCACAAGACCACAGTAAGCTAGAGAGTAATGCATAGAAGAAAATGGTGGTTCTGCTCAAACATCAAAACTTGTTAGTAAACGAGAGTAAGCTGACTCATCATTGTAGAAACTTGTCTTCAAACCAGAATAGTGACTCAGACAACTTCAAGATTCCTACTCCAACATTCAACTCAGCCTTGAAGCTGAAGCCTGGTCTCATATCTTCTGAAGCTTCTCCAAGTAACAATGCCACCAAACTTAGAAATGACTCGACTGCCACTCTGCACAGCCAGAGCACGCTTGAGCGAGATGACCGCATCTTTGATCATTCGCAGATCTACCAGCCAGTGTTACCGATGAAGATCCAGCTTTCATTCAAGCGGAAGTCACGACTGCATCAAGTGTTGCCCAAAGTAAACAAAATCTAATCTGTAGAATCCTTCACACGAGTCTCCATGGAACAGGAAGTCATTGCTTGCAAAGATGGCTGCAACTAGACTGCTGAATAACAGACAGTTTGTGATTAAAAAAGAACAATTTTAAATTACCCAGAAATTTGTTAATTACACCCATAAAACTCATATAAAAATATGTATTATTTCAAAACAAATTATCAAAATTGGGGTTTTGGGGTTTTGGGGTTTTGGGG